AGGTGGAGGAGGAGGAGGAGGAGGAGGAGGAGGAGGAAGAGGATGGAAGTGGTGGTGCAGAAGAATTCACAGAGTTATTCGGCGGCAGAGAGGACGAGGATGAAACGGGCGGGGGGATGAAGTTTGGTGCAGTTCGAGAGGTACAGTTGATCCGAAGATGTCCAACAAGGCCGATTCGAGCCCGGAATGTCCGCTAACATCGAGGACACGTAGGGAGCGGTTGTGCGGCGGCGTTGCTGACTGGGCGCAGTTGTGATTTGCGGGCTTCGCGTTTTGCTTTGGCGGCGGCGATGCGGTTGGCTTCGTGGATAGCAGCGCCCGTCTTCACTGTTCTCCTCCATGCCGGACGATCGCAGGCGAGCTCCTCCCAGTTGATCGGGTTGATTTGCAGTAGCTTCAGGGAGGACTTCAGGGTATCCTTGTATCGACGAATTGGGCCTCCTTGACGACGAGAACCCGTCGCGACGTCTCCGTAGAAGAGTCGTTTGGGTAGTCGCTCGTCGTCCATGCGCACCAGGTGGCCGCTCCAGCGCAGCTGCATTTGTCTCAACATGGAGAAGATGCTGAGCATTCCCGTTCGTTCCAGCACATCAGTGTCGGGGATGCGATCCTGCCAGTTCAGCCGCAGGATGCGACGAAGACAACGGAGGTGGAAGTGGTTCAGACGGCGTGCCTGCCTCGTGTACACCGTCCAGGTCTCTGCTCCGTACAGTAGCGTCGGCAGGATAACGGCCCTGTACATCTTCAGCTTCGTGCTCAGTTGAAGACCGTGACGATTCCAAACTGTGCTTTGGAGACGACCGAAGGCTTGACTAGCTTTCGAGGTCCTGTTGGCGACTTCGTCGTCGATCTTGGTATTGCGTGAGAGGGTACTGCCCAGGTACGGGAAGTTGTCTACCACTTGCAGTTGAGTCCCATTCACGTTTATTTGCGGCGCGTTGGGGGCTGTGACTGAGTTGGGTGGCGGTTGGTGCATCACCACCGTCTTCTGCGTGTTAATGACCAGACGGAAGTTCTCGCAAGCGGCGGAAAACAGGTCCATGCTCCGTTGCATCTCCTCTTCTGAGGTGGTGTTCAGGGCGCAGTCGTCGGCGAAGAGGAGTTCGTGAACGGTTGTTGTGGATAGGCGTGATTGGAAGTGCATCCGTCGTTGATTCAGCAGGTGACCGGCCGTCCTGTAGGCGATGCGAATCCCGGGACGTTCGTCGCGGTAGGCGTCCATCAGCATGGCAGAGAACAAAAGACTGAAGAGGGTTGGTGCCAGCACGCATCCCTGTTTCACTCCGTTAGTCACTGCGAATGCCTCTCAGACAGTTCCGTTGTCCGTGACTCGCGCCATCATACCGTCGTGCAGCTGACGCACCATCTGAGTGAATCGCTCTGGACAGCCGAATTTCTGCATGATCTTCCACAGTCCTTCACGATTCACCGTGTCGAAGGCTTTCGTCAGGTCCACGAAGGTAGAGTACAGGTGGGTCCGCATCTCCTGACACTTCTCCTGAAGTTGGCGGGCGGCGAAGATCATATCCGTGGTCCACGATGACGACGGAAGCCGCACTGGCTTTCCGGCAGAAGGCCCTGTTCCATGTGGTTATTGAGGCGGTTGAGAAGGATGCGAGCGAAGATCTTCCCGGCGATGTTCAGCAAGGAGATGCCACGGTGATTGTCGCAGACTTGGCGATTCCCTTTTCGCTTGTATCGGTGCACGATTTTTGCATCCTTGAAATCTTGCGGGACTTCACCTTGACGCCACATCTCCTGGAAGAGCGCAGTCAGGTGATCCATGAGTTGGGGACCTCCGTGCTTGTAGACCTCAGCAGGGATGGCGTCCGATCCGGGTGCTTTCCCGCTGGAGAGCTGCTGCACGGCCCTGATGGTTTCCTGGAGAGATGGCGGGAGGTCTAGGTCCGCGTTGGTCTCGACTTGCGGCAAACGCGCGATGGCGGCGTCGGAGATGGCGGAAGGGCGGTTGAGGACGCCTCGGAAATGCTTGGCCCATCGCTGAAGGATTTGCGTTTTCTCAGTCAGGAGAGTACTGCCGTCGGCGCTAAGGAGAGGAGTAGTGCCCTTTGTCGGCGGACCGTAGACAGCTTTGATCGCAGAGAAGAAGTTCTTCCATTCGTTACGGTCCGCGTAGCCTTGGATCTCCTCAGCTTTGCGAGCAGTCCAGGCGTCCTGCATCTCGCGCAGTCGCTGCTGGAGGTGGCGGCGACTGCGGTAGAAAGCAGCTTTGTTGTCGTCAGTGGGGTAATCGACGTAGGCTTTGTGTAGGCGGTTCTTCTCTGCAAGCAGATTTCTGATGGCGGCGTCGTTGTCGTCGAACCAGTCCTGGTGTTGGCCGGGAGCGCGACCGAGGACAGTGAGCGCCGTCGCCTGGACCGTGTCTCGCAGTAGACACCAGCGGTTCTCCACGGAGGCGTTTTCGGCAGCGGCGGCATCGGCGATGGGGAGGTTGTCTAGCCGTTGAGCTAGCTCATTGCTGAAATGGAGATGGTGAGCGGGCAAGGACAACAAGGCAACATTCAGCTTACCTGGTGGTCGCTTACCTTGAGGTCTCCTGCGAGGCTGTAGGCGAAGACGCATCTTCGAGATGACGAGGCGATGGTCGGTCCACCCGTCAGCACCCGCGATCGCCTTCGTCACCAGTACGTCCCGCTGGTCACGCCTTCGGACGAGGACATAGTCCAGCAGGTGCCACTGACGCGACCGAGGATGCCTCCAAGTGGCCTTCTCTCGCTCCGGCAGACAGAAGAACGTGTTTGTCAGGATGAGGCGGTGTTCTGCGCAGGTGCGGAGCAGCAGCAGACCATTGTCGTTTGAGCCGCGGAGACCGTGGGGACCCAGCACTTCTCTCCAGGCAGTATGGTCTGTGCCGACGCGGGCGTTGAAGTCGCCAAGGACAACCAACTTGTCCGCCATCGGCACAGTCGCCAAGAGGGCTTGCAGGTCCTCGTAGAATTTGTCTCTGACGGCGTCGGGGTTGGTCATGGTCGGAGCGTAGGCGCTGATGATGGTGGCGAATTGGTCCCCCCGCCAGAGAGGCAGGCGGAGGCTCATCAGGCGATCGTTGATGCCCTGCGGCAAACAGGGCAGTCATCCCACGATGTCGTTCCGAATGGCGAAGGCGACACCCGCGTCCCGTCGCTCTGCCCTGGGTCGACCGCTCCAGAAGAAGGTGTAGCCGGCACCCACCTCCTCCAGTTGGCCTTGTTCGGAGAAACGGGTCTCGCTGAGTGCGGCGATGTCCACCTTGTAGCGTGCCAGTTCTCGTGCCACTAACGCGGTCCTCCTTTCCGGTCGGTTGCTCCGCGGATTGTCTAAAAGGGAACGAACATTCCAGGCTGCCAGAGTGAGCGGACTCACCCTGCCAGTCTGGTGACGACGAGTGGGGCGACGGGAGGGAGATGGAGAAGAAGGTGACGAAGGAGAAGAATAGGCAGAGGAAGAGGTAGAAGAGGTAGGATGAGGAGAAGGAGTATGGTTGTTGTTGTTATTGGTATTGTTGTTGTTTCGATTTTGATTGTTTCGACCATGATAAGACGTCTGCGGCCCTGGCTAGCCTGGAGACGGCGTGGTACCCAGCAATGTTTAGGCCACCTTTTCTAGGCCCTTCCCCTCATGGGGGCAGGCAGTGCCGCCCCTGAATCGGGCTGCCCATGTGCCTGGTTGGCGCGACCGATCCCACTATGGGGCCACGACTTTTATGTTCGTAGTGGAGAACGACCGCATATGCCGTGAGTCCGCGGTCTCCGTCGGCGAGGGTGGGCGCGTCTCAGCGAAGGCGATGCGGAGACCCGTCCCGGCAACAGTTATTCAACGGCGTACCAGGCAGAGCCTCGTCTCGACGATGCCGGCGCAGTGTTTCATCCGACCATCCATCCAGCGGAGTCCGCAGTACACTGTGCACGCGGCACAAGCGCACAGCGCCCTCACCTGGTTTAGCCCGCCGGTCGAGGCGGTTGCCCGGGGTGTGGCCACTGAGCAGAGCCCAGCTACGTGGAGTCACAGGTGAGAGTTGGGTGCCAGCAAATGGACGCTAGGCGTAGTCTCACCTGCAAGCAAGTGAGCGACCGCTACGGCCATCACGTGAACCCACCGCTAACACCCCCTACACCCCACCGTTTACAATAGGGTCTTCTAAGTAATTGTGTTTTGTCTTTAAATATAGTGAACTATGAGGGATGGTTTAATCAGTTCTTATTTACCTTGCATTAATTATGTTTTTGACAAAAATACAGGAAAAGCGGAGTCAAGCGTCTTTCGTAAAGTCGTTGTTTTTATTCATCTAGTAGAAAAAATGTATTTTTAGTCAAATTAAAATGATCGCTCGTGCATTTTAGTTTAATGTTTTATAGAAGAATTTGAAGTGCATACCTAAGATTGCCGTAAAAGTTTTGACAAGCTAGTATGCCATTAATAAAGGAAAGACCATCACAGCAACCCCAAAATATTTAACTCGATACATTTATCCGCTCTACGTCGCACTCATTCAAGATTTAATTACGAGGTGACAGGTTGTGCGATCCCTGCATGCTGTCAAGTCGTAAAAGTGAAAGATAGCGAACATTTTGAATGAAAATTATATCCAACAGTTTCAGTGCAAAAATTGCTTTCATATCTATCCTATATTGGCCGACGCATTAAGGCCAGCGAATCGGTTAGCTCAAACTGAAAATCTCCAAATTTTTCTTACGAATGGTTTAACCTCCTCTCCAAGCTCCAAGAGGTCTGAGTCGCAAAATAAAACTAGTCAAGATTGATTTTACTGTCAAAACACCAAAATTACAACTTGCCGAGTGCACCAGTTCAACACTAAATATTGAAAACGTAATATTGCATGAAACTTCGATTAAAAGGGTTTCGTGCACGGACTTCACAATAAAGCACCGATGTATTACTGCTTCAGATGATGTTTTCATTGTGAAATCAATTTGGTTTGTTTTACTGGGCGATATTTTTCTACTGAAAGTAGAAATTAACCGAAGTCGATCCTTTAAGATATCTACAAGACGAATGCTTTCTCGGGTACGTGGACAAAACATCCGGGTCTGGAATGCGTGTTGCACTAAGGAGTTAAAATGGATTTAAATTATGCGTAAATAATACAGATATTATCATCGAGCAGTTTGAAAAAACAAAATATTTCACAAATGTTACATGCTAACATGTTGTCACAAAGGAGCTTAAATGTGATTATAGATTATTTCTGACCTAATTTGTTATGTGTAAGAATGTCAGATATCATGAACCACTACATGACTTCCTTCTACCGAAAAATTTGTCCACTCAATGAACTCATGTTTTCATAGCATAGGCACATGGTAACAGATATAAGCTGGGAACTCTTGTAATCGGGAATTTTCTAAAATCTAGTTATCCAGCCTAGTACGCTCTGCGGAGTTTGCTTTAGGTTTATTCGACTCAACCTTTTACACGTAATACCGTGACATCACGATGCTACACAAATAATCAAGTAAACATATACAGTCACATTGCTAGCCGAAATCTATTCACATGATAAATTTTGGTTCCAACCAAACTCACCTCTTCCAAGCTTATGCACGCAAGCATTTATCTGATGCAAGAGCACAAGTAATCCACAGAGTGTGGGGACTCTAATGCCGGACATCCTCGTAACTACTGCGTGTGAGTCTCTTTCCGTACACTGCATTGTACTTATATATATATATATATATATACATACATCAAACAAACAAATTAAAACTAAGCGACCTTTCAAAACTTGCTGTTAATTCGACGCCAGCATTTACAGGGAAATCCCATAAACTGATTGCTCCAATTATTTTCTAATACCAACGGCGTTCAGGCGGCTCTTTTCATCTACATAGGTCATCCGTGTCTGACAGGCGCGAGCGATAAAAGAACTGATTTATCCCGAATTCAAAGCAATTGGTGCAGCAAATATCATTAGAGTAGGCTATTTTCTTGAAAAAACCCAAAGCGCCTGTCAACTGTTTATGATAGTTTACAATATTATTATAGTTCAACCCAGCACATATGCTTGTCACGGACTATTGCGGAGCCAACAACTATGACCTATTAACTAGGAATTGTCCATTCCGTGCCGACGTCTGAAGGTCATTTACAGTAGGTGGGCTTACTCATGCAATGTCAACCAAAATTCTGAAATGAGTTTTCGTTTCGAAAAGATTAATTAGCTAGGATTGTAAAACTGATCATCATGAATCATGAGTATATAATAATTCA